ATCCTAGTGGCTCTTCTCTGAACCTTCTCCAACAATTCAATGTCCTTCTTGAGGAAGGGAGCCCAAAATTAGTAAACAGTACTCCAAATGAGGCCTCACAAGTGATCTATACATTGAAACAATAATATCCCTTGTCTTGAAAGCAATTATGAAAAGTTAAAAGGTCTAAAGCTTTTAAGATAACCATTGTAGTTATCTCTTATAATCTTCATTCATTCAAGTTTAAAAAAAAAAGTGTTTTTGATTTCATATTTTTTGGCTTTTGCTACAGTTGGAGTAAAGAAAATTAAAGGTAATGTATAAAGTTATTAATGTCGCATTTTGGAACACTTTCATTAACCACCCCCCAAGAAACGTACACCACGTATAATAGTTAAACGAACCATCTAAACGTTGTGTTAGTGTAGCCTGTATAATGTTTAAAAGTTTAGTATACTCTAATCCCTTATAGTGATGGCACATGATGAGACACACATTCGACATGTAATGCCATTTGAATACAAGAAGGGAAACAACACCTCTGTAGCCACAAGGAATATTTAAATTATATTAAGGTTTGACAATAAAAATGTTATAAAATGTAAAATTTCCCACAGATCTAAAGCAGATAAATGTGGCTTGATGCTATGGAAGGATTAGTATCGTCATCACACTCTTTTATAAAAGTGTAGTCTGCAGTTTAATGATTTATATTGTCATGCTGTAGAACTGCCATGGTGAACCAAAACTGTATGAAGATAAACTTTTATACTTCTTTGATATCTTTTCACACAGAAAATGTAACTTATAATTTAAATGGGGTGGTTTATGCTTTTTTTTTTTGAATGTTAATATTTCTCATCTGTCATCACTTTTGTGAAAATGTCTTGAAAAGTTTTCAGATCCAAGAGAAGTGAAATGGACTGGGTTATAAAACGGACAGGAGCTCATCAACAGGATGCTTTAAATGATGGCTGTGTGAGACTCAGAGGGCTCCCATTTGGGTGTTCGAAAGAAGAGCTTGCCCAGTTTTTTGCAGGTAAACTAAAGAGTATTGTACAGGTATTTACTTTATTTAAAAAAAAGTGTTTTCCCATTTCAGTAAAAAAATTTGCAATTATTTATTGCCCATAAGATCTGTTATTGGCATGACATTCTTGTTCTTATAAGCATTGAGATAATCCAGAAAATTGTCAGTACTTAAATTCATTAGAGAAAAATTACATCTTAAAGAAAGTATGAAAATTCATGACATAAAGAAAAAAAAATTCAAACTTGTAATATAATAATTGGAATTAACCTTTCTGTAAAGGTTATTTTATTAAAACTTGACTGTATAAAAACAGTGCTCCAGATAAGCTTTTGACATAACAAGTATTTTACTCCTTAAAATAAACTGCAATGCCAAAAATCAAAAGTCAGTGCTGAGAACTTGTGTATTAATTTGAGGCTCAGTTACTTTTTTTTGTGTTATCCAACACCTGACATTTTGGTGTCATTTTTGCTGTGTTTAATAGGCTCTTGTTCTTCTTATTGCTGAATTAACATCCTATTAAGGACCATTCAAGGCAGTTTATAGCATAAATTCAATGCAATAAGCACTTTGCTAGTATCAGTGAATATAATTAGACTGGTAAATATTTCAGTTTAAGTGTAACCCTGAACTACTGGTAATGACTGTGTAACTCGTTTATGAATTTTTCTTTACCTTACTAAAACTTGTAATTTCAGTAAAGAAAAGAATTTGTGAATGATGGATATAGAGGCTTAATCTATTATTTGATTCACTACTCCTTGTGCAGTAGGCTATAATTTTACCAAAATCACAGCTCTTCAATACTACTTGGGAGAGCAAACCAAAGAAATACAGTAGGCCTCCATATAGTGGTGGAATGGAATGCAAACACTTTGTAGGATTTGATGTAAAGGACTTTAAATCAACTCCCACAAATCACTGTGTAACTTATCGATCAGGTGAGAATGATCTCTGATGCTTTGTGTTTGTTTTTTATTTCCAACTAGCAAATACATATATGTGAATGATATCCTTATTGGTGAATAGTATGCATATTTGTTATGCACAGTTTTTTTTTTTTTTTAGAATGCATTTTATTTAAAAGAATGCATATTTATGCAAGTACACATCTTATCTGGAGCATTGTAAAAACTTAACTATTTATTTATTACTACAAATGATCAGTTGATCTTACTTGAATATAGGTTTAACCCTATGCCTACCAATAAATAGATATTGGGTTTTAAATTCAGAAATTTGTGCTCTTACTATTTTAGTACTATTTTATTGTTACAAAACTTGTAATTTTCTTTCATCTGTGTATGTGTGTGTGGTTAATCACATTAGGGTATCTAAAGCAACTTAATTAACTTTAAATCTTAGGGAGGAAAGCTTGGAAACAACTCTTCTAAACCTATGATGAATATAGTTATGTAAACTAAGAAAATCAGACAAAAAAACAAACAAACAATAGCAACTACAACACCATAAAAAATAACATCCAGTTACAACTTATAACGCATGGATTATCAGGCATCTGCAGAAGTAGAGATACACCATCTACCAGATTTAACCACGTTTCACATGCCTTACCTGTTACAAATGTAATAATAATAACAATACAAAAAATAAGTGTGAGTGTTCAAGGCTGCAACATCATATGCCTGTGCCATTTTTTACTGTCTGTAGCCAGTGTTGGAAAGGTGGCTGCTTAGAAATAAATAAATAAAAGGAAAAGGTTATCAATTTCATTTATTTCTAAGTATTATAATAGATATTTAATTATAAGCAAAGAGTCGTGCATTATCCTTTTATTTCCTGGTAACTATCATACAGTATTCATTTTATTTCTTTGAATCCATTATTCATTTACGTACTCTCATTTAACTCTAAAAATTTTGAACATTAGTATCTATATTTAAATATCAGCAAACATTTGTGCATTATCTTTATTTGTTATTAACATCCATGCAATATCATTGTACGTGCTTTAATCCAATATTCATTGAGTATTCTTTCTCAAAATAAACATTCAAACACTGGTATAAAAGTAAATGTATACATCAAGTTCCAGGCAAACAATTTTATAGATGTGTAAGATTGTTGTCCCTTGGTGAGTTCAGAAGCATATGACCAAGAGAGCTGGACCAGATTAGATTTAAATTCACTAAGCTAAAATTATACCTGTTACCATATGTGGTCAATCAATCTTTTAATGCAAAACAAGCTGATGTTTTGTATTATCTTAATACAAACAAGATCATTACCATGTCTTCCAAGACAAAATCTACCATCTTCTGTTGGGATGGAGGGAGATACCCATTTACTGTGATAAAAAACATACAAACAACATAACATTACACTATACATAAGATAATATTATATGTTAAATTTTGTAGTGTAGTTTCCACCACTTGATAAAATAGTTAACCATCTTTATGACTGGTGTTTCTTTGTCTTTTTTATTTTACATCTTTACTTGCCCCACAAAATAACTTGAATTAATGCTCAACATAGAATAGGCTTAGCCTCATAACTTTTTCTTACCAATTTGAAACAAATAATATTAAAGTTAACCACTGTTAACACAATTTCTTAATAAAACAATAACTGATTTTCTTTCTTAACAAAGACAACTATGAAATGCTTAGTTATATTGAAGAATTTTGGCAGTTGTTCTTTAATGGAAAATCATTGATAGGACCTGAAAGATACTGTAAAGCTGCAAAATGTCTGCAGAATAAAAAAAAAAAATTACTACCAAATACATCTGTAAGCAACATACAGACCTTGAGGATACACCTGCTTTTGACATAGTGCATTATGAGAAAAATTCATTTTAGTCTGCTTGGAAGTACATTAAAATATAAATCTTCTAAAATGTTTTTGAAGTTATTAATATGAATATAATCAAACAAATAGTCAAATAAGTAAAATTTCATTGTAAGAAAATACTGTTAGTTCGTTATTTAAGCAGGCCCGGCATGGCCAGGTGGTTAGTGCGCTCGACTCGCAATCTGATGGCGGGTTTGAATCCCTGTCCCACCAAACATGCTCGCCCTGTGGGGGCATTATAATGTGATGGCCAATCCCACTATTCGTTGGTAAAAGAGTAGCCCAAGAGTTGGTGGTGAGTGGTGATGACTAGCTGCCTTTGCTCTAGTCTTACACTGGTAAATTAGGGACGACTAGTGCAGATAGCCCTCGTGTAGCTTTGCGCAAAATTCAAAACACACACACACACACACACACACACACACACACAGTTATTTAAGTATAATTCCATGACAAAAATGCCTATAGTTTTAGGATCTAAAATAAATAATAAAAATAAGAAAATATTTAAGAACAAAAAATTTCATACCAAATTCCTCACTTTTGATTTTAAGCATTGTAAGCCATCTTCTGCAATATCAGGGAAGAAGTTGTTTAACAGGTACAAACTTGTATGCTTGTCAGAAGCTAGTACTGTCAAACCTCTTGACAACTGTCAAAGTGTGTATATGTATATCTATATGTAGTACTGAAAATCTCTGTTTGTTTGTTTGCTTGCTTTTTTGTCTGCGCAGGTCACACTTGCCTCACGTGAAGGTGTGCAGAACAACAATTTTTAGTTGATATACGTGTTTATTGTCTGCTAGCCGAACCAGTAATTTTATCGTTAACATATACATTACATGAATAAATTCTACCCAGACTTGACATTTTGTGGTAAGTTTGAGTTAACATTTAATTTAGAATATAGCATTATAGGCCTATTTTGTTATAGATCATTAACTATACATCTACTAATACATCATATATTTAACTCCACACACACACAAAAGAAATGTATGCAGAATTACAATGTTGTGTGTGAAAAAGCAAACAGTAGACCTAGCCTATAAAATATAATAAAATGATATAATATAATAAGTAAAAAGAATAAGGCTTAAGTTATAATACTAATTGTGTACAATGAGATTAAAGTCAAGTCAGTGAATGAATTTTATTCTACTTTTTTTTTCTCCGGGTGGTGGATTTTTTTTCTTTTCATACATTATAAAGTACAATATTGCATTTTGTTTGTAGTATATTTCATACATCATTATCATAATGTGAATATGGTATCACATTCATAAAAATATATTAAATTTACATTAAAGCAAATTCAACATAATATTACATACATATTTACATTTAAAATTTTAATATTTGAAAAGGGATGATGGGGGATAGGGGGAATAGAGCTAGGTTTATCCTGTTCCCCAGAACGAGTACTCATACGTGTATTCTTGAGGTTAACGTGACGTCACAGTCATGTGATTTTGTCTGGTAACACAACTGCTATCTTAACAAAGGGGCTTAAAATAGCGAAGCGAGTACAGCTGCATATACACAATTTATATAGGTCTACCCTATGCACGTATTACTGCTGAAGCTGCTGTGCAAATTCTTCAATTATTGTTTGATTGTAAGCAACTTGTGAATCAACAACCCAACAATATTGCCCAGTGTGCAATACCTGGATGTGTACAATTACCTTGTATTAAAAAAAACGGAAGACAACATTTACATGATATAAAATATACTGAACACGCATAGTTATATTCAGACTTTAGCTCCTACATTCTTCTTCTTGCTTCCTGTGTTCCGAGATTGATAGCTGTCAGCTATAACACTCTTCTTTCCTTTCATTCTATTGTTTGAAGCTTGGTACTTGGATTTATAGATCCCTGTCTGGCCCTGTTAAAGCCCATTTGTTGAAGTATTTTGTCAATGGTTTTTCTTCTTGTAGGTGGACCTGTCTGGCCTTGGCTTCTCTCCTTTTCAGTAGCTTGACTGGGTATTAAATAGAAGGAAAGTTCAGGTCTTTTTGCAATTGAATACACAAGCACTCTTCACCATATTTACAGGTTTGGAAAAACAAAAGTTTGTCTCAAACACAAATATAAGTATACAGTGGGCAAGTGTACAAAATTAAAAAAATTTCCCCTTTGTCACACTTTTTGTTTGCTGTGTGGACATTGCACTGTAGGAGGGCAAAGTTCCCAGATGTCCAAACTTGAGAATAAGGTAATCTAAATATTTTTCATAAAGGCCTATTTATCCTTGACAGTAAAAGAAAAACAAAAAACATCGTTCAAAAGGAAGCCCTGATTTGAAACAGGTTTGTAGTTTATTTTAAAAAAATCAAACCTAAGGGTTTTTTTTTGGGGGGGGGGTCCATAAATTTACAACATATTTGTTACTTATCGAAATATGGAACGGGGGAAACAGAGAGAGTAGGATGTTGTATTTTCGAAAACTAGGGCTACACTGCTAGTATGTATATGTGTGACAAGAGGTTACTAAAGTTTAATAGTTACTGTTAGAACATGTTGCATCCAAAACATTAAAAAGTTGTCAAAAAAGAGTATCACAAAATGCAGAATAAAAGTGCAAGTGAAATAAACAAAAAAAAGCAGAATTAAGAAATCTGTTTTTCACATGTACGTATTAATTTTTCAGTAATTGTTTTTTGAGGTTTTGTTTGGGCAAATACCCAATACGATCTTAGATAGTATTAGATCCCAAAATGTTCTATCATGTACAAGGCTAGATGTAACAAGTTACAGCTTAAAATTGTCTCCACAAAGAATATAAGTGGTGGCTCAGAACCTTTCATGTAAAATCTGTTTCTTAAAAATCATTGCATAAAGCTTATGTAAGTTAATTGTACGTTTATTGTGTAGCAGAGGTTGAAATATTAGGAAGGAGGAAAACTAAAAGAATTATAATTTAGGTGTTTATGCTTTATTCAAGAGAAGTTCCTTCTCAATAAATCATGCTAATTTTAATTATGAAAATGGTCAAGTCTTTTGCTGATATGATGACAAAAAAATAATCCCCAAAATTTGCACAATGTTTTTAATGGCAGCTGTGATAAAAGTTTTAACTTATAACTTTTCTAATAAATCATTAGAACATATTACATTATTATTTTTCAGAAGTAAACTGATTAAAAGATTAAATGTAAAAATGTGACTTGAAAGTCACAATTATATTTGGTATTTTTGTTGCTGTCTAAAGGCTTAGTTTTCTCTAATGTAGGAGATCAAGTATTGTGTTTAAATGTTTGTATTATGGCACATTTAATTAATTTCACAATAACTCTGAGGTTGTGCATTTAAATATTCTAAAAAAAACATTGTTTCTTTAGATATTTTCACTTTGCATTTGGTGAATTGGAGGAAATGTTTTCATACAGTGCATTAACAATTTCTTCCTTGGTATGCTGAATGAGTGAATTTGTGTATTAAGATGTATTCAGCTTTTCTTTGTATTTAATTATCAGATCTGAATATTTGAGTTACAGGGATGAAGGTTAAGTAGTAGTATGGTTGAATATATTTTCATATTTGTTAAGAATCTCTTTTAAAGTCCTGTTATCTGTTGTTTTTTAAATTATTGATGCCAAGTTAAGCTTTGCTTTTTATGTAGTAAGTGCAGAAAGTATAATAAATTCATGTATTTCCAATGAATTAAGTAGTTTATCATAAAAAAAAAAAAATATGAAAACCGGTCAATACTAATTTATACTTTGTGACAGTTGTATAACTACGTAATCTTGTCATTTTTTTAATCTTTTTTTTTTATTTTTCTTCTAACAGTGTCTGTTAAGCAGCATAAAAGTAGCTGGTATGATCTAGTGCAAAAAGACTAGAATATATAGTGGCAGATACATACACTAGTAACACTGACAGATGTAATTCTTACATTGATCTATCTTTTCTATGAAAACTTTGACTTGAGTATTTAATGATACAAGAAGACTGCTTTGTGAAGAACAACAAAAGTTTGGTTCTCTTTGAAAAAGTTTAATTAGTGTCTTCTTGTGATGGTTATTTAACTTATGGTGGGCTTAGGGTTAAATCTGCGTAACTTAAAATATATATTTAGAATATGCTATTCGTATTAAGTATGTTATTTAAAATGTTTTAATATTTGAGTGGCCTTTAACTATGTAGATGAAACTATTTTATGAAAAAAAAGAAACTTGACTGGTATATTTGTCAAAGTTTAGACATTTCTTCAGAGCTAATTATTTAGTTGATTTTCACATTGAGCATTGTACTATATTTGTAAACTATGTTACATTAAATATATATATAATATACATTCACAAAAAATTAATCTTTGTTCCACATTTTCTGTTTGGAAAATTTATTCTTTTGATCTATGAAAAATGATTAATTTCATTACATTACATTGTAATATAACAACTGTGGTTTACTTAGTATAATGGGTGAAAATATACTGAAAATAAAATTAGAGGCTCTGAAATTTTAATTCCAATTCCCAAAGCAGTTGATCTCATTAAGAAAGAGAATTGACAGCTTGATCACATCATTGTTTTTGATAGTTTTTATGTGAGATTATCAGTTTTTACCACCTGGGACGTTTTATGTATCATCTTGTTTTTGTTGGGTTGGATTTCAACTGAAGGGTTGGAGATTGTTCCGAATGGGATCACACTACCAACAGACATCCAGGGGAGGAGCACAGGGGAGGCTTATGTGCAGTTTGCTTCTCGGGATATAGCTGAAAAGGCGATGGGGAAACACAAGGAAAAAATTGGGCACAGGTGGGAAAAAGGGCTTCCAGGCGGTGTTTTCATGCCCGTCATTTGGGCTCTCATTTATTGTTAATTCTTAAACATTTTTATGAAGTTGGTGGGTGTGTTATGTTCTTCAGTGAAGGGTGTTTTATTGTATTCAACATTCGTGTACTTTGGCTACCATGGGATCTGGGTGTGGATATATAACAGTTGTATTTTTCTGTGATGTAAGTATTGTTAATCATTTTCTTATAATATGTTTTCTGCTTTTATTTTTTATATATTACCAGTAGTTTTTAAGCAGTTGTTTTAGTAAAAATAAGGTTGTTTTAATAATAATCTATGTGCAGCTTTGACAAATGTTGAGTTCTTAAAACTGTTCTCTCAAAGGTTTTACAACTATTATATTAATGGCTGTTTTACATAGTTACAGATGTATAATAAAGTAAATTTTGTTTGTGTAAAAAGCATTTACCACTCTATTCTTAAACAGTATTTCTTGTAGATAAGTGAAAACAGAATTAGTGTACTATTACAAATATTTAATAGTTGTTTAGCTTATATATTTGTGCAAGATTTTTTCCAACACAGTCTGTGGTGTTATTTCGATTCCTTTCCTAAAAACTCAAAATTAATATTTTGTAGTAGCAGAGGAAGTTCTTGTTTTTATCATGAAATTGCTCTTTTCTGATAAAGTGTTTTTAAACAGAAAGTAATGTAACAAGGAAACGTATAAAACAAAAAAAATGTATCTAACTTCACAACTGCTGTTAATTTTTGAATAGGTAAAGGCATGCAAAGCAATATTCCATTTTGTACAGCCATATGCACAATAGATAGCATGGTTTTAATATCTAATAATATTTATTTGGTGTTAAATGATTATCATTATTATGGTATGTAAATTAAAGAGTTATTCAATAAATGATGAAAGTCATTTTTTGCATGAATATTTTTATACATATTTAGTAAGAGCATACAGATTTACATTTAAGTCAGATTTCTAAAGTATTAACTTAAATAACAGGCAGTACACAGTTATGATTATTTTACTGAGCAATTGAAAATTTGCATTTTTAACAGCTTGGAATAAAATGTTATACCAAAATTTATTAAAAGTACATACATTATAAACACATGACAGCCCTTGGGTCACTGAAATGAAAAGATGTTTTTTTAGATTGCATATTAAATTTTCTATTATGTGTAACATGTTAGTATACGTATTTCGAGGTATAAAAATGAATTGTATAGTTAAATACTATAGATAAAAAAAAACAACTAGAAATCATAAAATGATGAATTTGTGCATACATGGTGAAACATATTACCGAATAATTGATAATTGAACAATTGTGAAGAAAAAGTAACCTATTTTTAAATGAATAGACTTCTATACTTCTTCCAGTATTGTGTTATAAAACTACTCAGACATATAAGTTATAATAATTATCAAATGAGTTATTCATGACTATTGCATCAAACATATCAGAGATAGAACTACCTTATTAGTTGTTATGTCTCAATTTTTTCTCGCTCTGTGCTTGTATTAGTTATTTGCATATGGTTTTCACAAAAAATAAATATTAAGCTGCTTTATAATTAATAAGTATACTTTCATTATTTCTGGTATTTAAATAATGAGTGACCACAATTATTACAAAGTAATGTGGAATGCTAGCTCGTGTCTAAACATGATTTTAAAATTTTATGTAAGTTGTCAGGACCAAAAACATTATTGATTACTTTTTGTATAAGCACTTGTCTTTAGACATGGCTATGAAATAGACAGAATAGAAAATAGAGAAATTTATATTACCAGTTACCTTAATACTTAAAATACTGTAGTATTTTCTCATACATTAATTGCCGAAATTTATTTATTATGTTTTAGTTTTGAAAATTTCTTTAGGCAGATTCCATATCTAATCTTCCTTGAGCCTGGGCTACTACAACTTGATAATGGTAGAATCAGTGGGAAATTGGTAGCAGTTTATAAATTTCTTTAGTCTTTTACTAAATAACTGTTATACTCTTGCCTTTCCAACTTTATCAATTGCATTCAAAAGTATTTTTGATTAACTGCAGTGTTTATTTCCAATGTCAAATTAAATGCTATGGCTTTCACTTTACTTTTAAATTGCATTACTATGAACATCACTAGTAATATCTACATAAAGCTTGAACAGTACAATTGATAATTTTATTTTGTTTAACTGTAGTGATTGCTCTCTATCATATTTTTGAATAAAGCTGGGTAATTAGTAGTGTTTGCTAATCAACTAATTGATGTGCTCCATAATCAGTTACATTACATTAATCAATTATTACACTCCTCCCTCCACACATTTACAAGAATAATACATGTATGCTACCATCGTACCCTTTTCAATTACTGCATTACTCTAACGTGGGGTTAATCTTACTCTTCTGTAGGTCACCATATGCAAATTTTATAAAAGTAACTATTTTTGTCAAAAAAATAAATGTTTGCCACAATTTTTTTAAAGTTAATCTGGATATTTCATCCTTATCAAATTAATTGCTGGTGTTGACTTAATACCACTATGCACTTGGTGTTTTGTTTATTTTTATAATATGTAGTATTCCCAAATTGATCTTTTGTAAATCAGATAAATACATAATTAGGTATTGAGAACATATTTTACTGTTGCTGGTAAAGGTAATAATGTTTTCATTTAAGACATTATGATTAAAATTAGAAATAATTAAGTAGCCAGTTTATGTATGTACATTCTGTGATTAGGATAAAAATAAAATTCTTTAAAGATTTGAGTCATCAGACTATTTTGCAGTTGCCTACCATAATCAGTAAATAGTAAATGGAATTTATCGGATTTGATGATGATTTTATTTGATAACCATAATAAAAGAACTTCATGTTTACAAAGATTGCAACTCAATAAAACCATGATATGTCAATACACCATCATTTTAACCAACAAAAAAAAAACGTCAATAAGATACTACTTGTATCTAATGGTAACCTTCTCCAAAAATTGTTTAGGCCTAAACATTTTTTACGAGTAAATGTTGTTATAACAATGCAACAAGAAGCCATACAAATTGAACTTTAATCATGAAATTGAAAGCCTGAAATATCTGAGGTGTGAATTTAATAAATGTAATTATTTCTAAATTTTTTATCAACTCTTGTTTGACTATTTTATTTCAAATTGAAAAAAATTAATGAAAATGGCCATGTTCAGTCTTGTTAACCTTTTATATCACTCTTAAGTTATTTTTGTTTTTGTCTTGATTTAAAGATAGCATATATAAAGCAGTGAGTGTGAATTAATGAAGAATAGAATTTTTTTTTCCATTACATTGGCTGAGGCTACATACCACATAAATATAACTCACTGATATTATCCATAGTTAATTAATAACAAGTAAACTAGGAATTGGCAAATATTTGAACTTCAGAAAAACAGACGAGTGCTGAAATCGTTTTCTGAATTAATGTAAACAGTTATGAATTTCAAAAGAAAAATGTAGAAAATGCATTGAAATGTCAGTGATTGAATTAGAACTTAGTATAACATGTGGATAAAGATATCTTTGTGGCTATTAGAATAATTCTTATATTAAATAATGTGGTGTTTTATTTATAATTTTAAGCATGCAAATCATCATATTAAATGTAATTTATTACATTCTGAATCATTTATGGTTAGGTAAAGATTTTTCTTGAGACATTTAGGCATAAAAATGGTAGTTGATGTTTGGTTGCTTTCAATACACCAAAGTATATAAAACATTACTTAGACTCAAGTAGTAATTTCTGTGCTATTAAAAGCAATTAGGTGGAAACTTTTTCAGAATATTTTAACTGTAATAAAAAATATTTTGCATGTGTGTTTGACAACCATCTCAATTTTATGTTGTGCTTTATAATTTTAGAAAAATTAGTTTTATCATGTTTTGGAAAAAAGTAGGATACAACACATGGTTGATAATGAAATGTAATAAATTAGGAAAGAATGATTGACAAACTGACATAGAAATATTTATTGTTAGTATTTGAAGGGAGACATTAATTTTGATTGTTTTAGAATATATCTTTAAAAACTAGTTTTCACCATTTCTTTATATCTGTATGCATATCAAAAATTTAGGAAATGTGTGTTTGAGTGTAAATTTCTAAAGTAAATATGAACATAGTAAATTCCATGGTTTAGTTTATCAGAAAAATATGTGGTAGTCATCTCTGAATATAACATGACAATTTAGTTTAAAAAGTTTAGAAATAAAGGTAGATTTTGTAAACTTGCATACATTTTAGAAGGGCTATTGTTTCAAGCCATTTTTCTTTACACAATTATTGGTAAAATATTTCTTTTTTTGAATATTGTGTTTAGGCTCATGTGTTTTCATTCCCATGCTTTTGAGTACAAGTTGGATTACTTTTTTTTTTTGTGTCAATGTATATTGTACATTCTGTTATACTTTGCAACAATAATAATTTATTCTAATTGGTAACCAATACCAGTTTTGATTCTTATTCTTGTCATATTTATGTGTTGACTTTTTTATTATTATTTTAATCTGAGTGTTTTTTTCTTCTGTAAATAAAAAGTGAAATACACTAAACAGTAATATATATATATATATATATATTTGTAACAGTATTGGTGCATCTAATCATAAAATTTCCTGTGTGTATAACCTTTGTTGATAACAGATCAGTAGTAATTAAGATTTTACTTTTATTAGGTACATAGAAATATTCAAGAGCAGCCTTCAGGAAGTAAAGACTGTGGTAGGAATGGGTCATCCTAAAATGAGAACACTAATGTCAGCTAGGCCAAGCCCCTATGACAGAAATGATAGGTTTAGCGGTCTTGGTAGCCGTTTTGGGCTTAGTAGAGGCTCTCGCAGTTTTAGAGGTCAGTAGTAAAAAATCAGTGTTAGGTTTTAGAGACACATTTTTAAAAAGAAGGTGATAAAATTTATTTTCATTATCTTTCTATTTTGAATTAAAAGAAAGTACTTGTATTGACATTATTTTTTCTGAGAGAGAAGTTAATTGATGTATATAGTTAATTTAGATATTAAGAGAATTGTTTTAAAAATAAGTATTAATAACAAGAAATATTATTGCTTATACTAAACTTTGGTAATGTTTTTATAATTCTGTAGGCTTCATGGATGACGATAACTATGGGGATTTTGGAAATAGCTATGGAGGATTACCAAGCAGAGGAGGTAGTTTTAGTTTTTTTGTTATTGTAGTATGAACCAAATAATGTGCCATTTTTTATTATTTTATGAAATTAAATACCTCATAATTACATTTGTTCAGGAGGCACTGGTTCATATAAAAATGCTTTAGTAGAAAGTTACTGTTGTTTCACATACATTAAATGAAAAATGCTTATTCTTTCAAATTAGTGGTTGCTTACATATATATAAACTATTTTTATATGATTCTTGTCAAGGTTCTATTTACAAAATTATCCAAAGTTAAGATTTGTGAAGAACAGTGTGTAATAACAGATACCTTAATATTTACACATATTTAAAAACTAAATCAATTTACATTGCAACTACTAGTATTTTGTTTTAACTCTGTGAGACTCATGTGCATCATTTCAACTCAATATAAAACTTACTTATTACAAGCTACAAACTTGTTACCTAGGCTGAGATTGCTTTAATAAAAAAAAGTTACAGCAAGTTAATATTCATTATTATGTGAAAAATAAAAAAGTCTGGCTTGTACAGTTCCTAGTACAGTAAGCTTTAAATTGTTTAATTTATGATTTCTCAGTACATGCTTATTTCTGCAGTTTCTCCTACCACGTATTTGCAAAGTGTAAATGTATTAATTGTTTTCTTTATAACCTCCTTCTGTATCAACAACTTCTTACATAGAACTCATGATATTTTTCGTACTTATAAATTTGTCAATTATTTTTGAGTTTTTCATGCTGACTACACAATCGAAAAGAAATTCAAAATGTTTGTAATTAAATATTTGTATTTTTAACATATCTTATGCAACTTCATTTTCTACCTTATGATTCATTTCAACCTTCTTGCTATGTACATCCTTTTGTGTGCATGTCATGAGGTTTTACTGAGTTACATTCAAAATTTCATTTTTGCTTTATTATCATGGTATATGATTAAGCTTGGCATTGCAACATAGCTGATAATCGAAATTTTATTGTTATGTGTCTGAAGTTCTTGATTTTATCAAGGCAATATTTTAAAAAAGCCTCCATTTCCCCTAGTATGAGAATTGTGACATTTGCTCTCTAGGTATCCCCTCTTATCTAAGTATGAAATTTAACATAAATTACTCATTATAATGTTGTCATCGCTCAGGCAAAGCATAATTTTTATAGCCTTCAATCTTATTTGTTTACAGAACCATAAACTAGAAAATCAGACCCCTATTGCCATGCTCACCTGTCATCCTCTCCTTAACAAATTGCCAGTAGTTCTCTCTGACATTTAATACTGTATTGTTTATAACCAATAGAAAGCTAAAGTTTTAATTGTCTATTTCACTTCCAGTTCAAACTTTATTTCCACAGGAAACACATCAATGGGCTTAGCAAAAGTTTTAATGGCTCTTGTTGCATAGTTAGAAAGCTAGAAAAATTGTGATAATTATAGGACATTGTCTGCTTTTTGCGTACACCAAAAGAAAACTAAAACAAGTAAACTTCATTGTTATACATATACAAAATAATAATTTTCCACATTACTTTTCATTTATCTGTACCCACCGATACTGTACCTAACTTTTTGATCTGGAAATGCACTGAAAAAGTTTAAAACTGTGAATTTTGTGGTGTGATACCAGATGTATTAGTGCAGTTGATATTTTATTTGTGTCATAAAAACACAAGGAATAACCATAATTTAGCTTAGCATGCTAGTATTCAGCTAAATTCTGTCACTGTGACAATAACGTGTATTCTTCTAATGTAACTGAAAAAATAAGAATGATCAGTGTTCTAAAAGAATAACGTAGGCCTACAACAATTGTAATGAAGCATGTTGTCTTTCCTTCTCTTTTTGTGGGTAGATTTCTGTTCCTTTATTTTTATTATCTTTTGCAACTTTTTTATCTCTTGCAACACAAAGCTATATATTCATAATTGTCACCCACTTTAATTCATTAGTGGGAGAATGAAACATTCTGTTCACAGCAGTGTGGAAGGATACAATTTCATGTTAACTTAACTCCAACTTCATGTGATTACTACTTGGGAAAAAATCCTCTAAGTGTGCATGTGTTGTATTACACAATTCATAATTTGGCAATTTTGTAGTGTTATTTTTTTGCAAATTGTATACATTTCTAGTTTTTTGGTGAATTTGTGAGAAACGTGTAACTCCTGTTTGGTTGTCTTTTAAATTTGTGGCTATTTTTGAATAAGTGTATGGAAGAATAAATTTCAGATGACCATCATTAATTAGTAAATATTCAGTTGTAACACTTAATGAACTAACTGTGTATGTAAGTTGAGAAGATACTGTCATTCCTAAATGAATTTTTGTTCTAACTTAATTTCTCTTAAACTTCTCAGGAAGGAGTATGGAACCTATGGATAGTATAGGTGGACTGGGTAGCAGGTTTAGTAGCAACAGCGGATTTGATGGAAACAGGTTTAGCAGCAACAATGGTTTTGATGGAAGAAGAAATGACTATGGCCCTTCAGGGCACTTTGTTCACATGCGTGGTTTACCATTCAGAGCTATACAACAAGATATTGTTGATGTAGGTATAGATTTTATTTTGCCTGGTAAAGTAACTGTTTTAAATTTTTATGGATATTAGTTGACAAGGTTTATTTGAAATGACTCTATAATCAATATTTTGTCTTAAAATGGTATTATGTATGTTTGTATATGGAGAGAGACGAAGTTCTGGTGATAGAAACTTAGAAAAAAAAAAGAAGCATTTATTAAATCTGATAATGAATAGATAGTTTTTTGTTTTTTTTATCTACATTGCTTGCAAGCACTATATATACAGATCAAGGAATTCAAATGTTCCTCCAGAACAGAATAACATATATTAAGAGTGTTATGTGCTAAGACAATATTAAAATTGAAATAACTTGAAAAAAACAATAGTAATATGCAGTTTATTCAGAGGAGTAATTCATGAATAGTAAATATAATTTGACATGTAAACTATTATTTTGAAGTTTACTGGGTGTTTTTCTTTCATATGTATTTTTTTCCTTGGTTTTTTAAAAGATTATTGTTTACTTCTACATAATTATAGTTTTTATTAACCTAAACTGGGAACAGAAAGAGGTTACTGTCCGTTTATGTGAAACTGATACTTGAAAGGATTGGGGGGGGGGGGCTATTAAACCATGTCAAAATTGCCATCCAGTTTGATGTAAATCCTTAAATATTTTAAGTGATGCTGTAGATATATAGTTAACTTTAATTTTTTTCTGTTTTGTGTACTTCCGCATGAAATATTCGGTAAGAAGATTATTCAAAAGCTCAAAAAAAAAGTTTTATTGTTTAATCCAGTTGTGACACTAATTTCAAGAGCAGTACAAGTAAAATTATCCTTCAAAATAGAAATAATGAAACCTTCATGATACAGGTTTTGATTTTAATGTATAAAGATGTAATACTTAGTTTTCAAGTTGCAACCTTGAACTCAAGCATATGTAAGATGAAAAATATTTTTATTATAAAGAAGATACTTTCTATTTTGGTTATTTGTAACTTTTTTTGTTCAACTTTTGTGATGTAGGAAAAATTAATTCATTAGTAGATTTAGCTATATTATTCAGTGAATAGTGATGCTCAGTCAGCATTAAAAATGCTTATAAAGATGAACAGTAAACTAACAAAAAATACTGTTTGAAATTTGTTTCTGTGAAAGTATTTTTTGACAGCAACACATTGTTTTGCAGATATTTAATGTGAAATGAAAATTCAGTCTCATAAGACTAAAGCATGTAGTAAACAGACCTAATATTACTTTTTTTTAAAATTTTCAGTGCTGACTGAAGGATAGAAACCATTATTTAATGAAGACGACAAACAACTTTAGAAAAATGTTTAATTACTTGTACCCAATGTTATCAAGGGTTTATGAATGTCATAGGTTACCAAACTGATTTTATTTGACAGTAACCTAGTGTTAGATTTTTTGAATCTGTGTTCTCCAGAAAGCATTACACAGTCATTTGAATTTGAGGTGCGTGATCCCGCTTGCTCATGATAACACAAAAATATTTTGCTTTAGGTGCATTGTTAATTGCTCATGCAACTGTGTCATTATTGCTTGCATGAAAACACCATTTTACAATCACACATGCAACTTTACTTATTTAGTGCACGTGATAAGTGGTATTTCCATATCGCGACTAATACAGCTATTTATTACTGCAGCACTGATGATCCACACTGTTGAGTGAGTATTAATCCATATCAGAGACTACAGTCTGCTTTTGTGAGTTGCCTTAATTGTCTTAATCTTCATTTTCATATATGCAGGCAATATTCAGATTTGCATTTTAAGTGAAAAATATGCTTTGAAAATTCAGAATTTGGCATAAATGCAAAGTCTGTAGTAAAGTAAGGGTAAGAAAATTATCATAGAATCTTTTTATGAAAGTTAGATATAAATACGTTGCATCAAAATAGGTTTTTTAGTAGAGGGTAATTTATGAAAAAAAAACTTCTTTAGTTTTTCAGACCACTGATGCCTATTGGGGCTCAGATACTCTATGACAAGCGAGGAAGGCCATCAGGAGAAGCTGATGTGGAATTTGCTACTCACGAAGAGGCAGTTAAAGCAATGAGCAGAGATAAGGCAAGAATGGGTAAGAATTTATGAATTGAGGCTATTTTACCTGCTTAATTGGAGGATTTTTACTGAACAGTCTTGTAAATGAGTGTAATTTTTTTTTCTTTTTCATAATTTAATATAGTTTATATTCCAAAAAGAAGTTATCAGTAATTTGTCCTTGACCTGCATTATCTAAAAAAATGTGAAACTGAAATACAGTTATAGAGGATTATTATATTGATATATTTGTCAGTTCTTAGTATCTTTGATACTTGATAATTCTATATTAAGATTGTTTTTGCAATTATGGTAAAGAATTTTATTTTATTCAAACCTATATACTGTTACTATTTTTGGAACAGCATAATTTTATAAACTGACTCATTTCGTATCTTTTGCTTAATGATATTCATTGTAATAAACTGGTTATTTTAAATTAAAAGAGCATGGTTGTGTTATGAGGCATAAGTTTTAAAACTGACATTGATTTTACATCTCATATTTTTATGTGGCTTTCAGCTCGTCTGGCGTAGATATCTAACTATTTTGATGAGATTTATTTTGAGAGTATCACTTTTTTTTTTGTTTTTTCAATGATGTTACTTTGGGCATGGTTGTATTTTCTCTGTGCAAATACTGGAAAAGTGTAACAAGATAGTTTCCAGATATTAACTGGTTTTACAAATTTCACCAAAAACTGTATAAATAAATGTCAATATTTTGTGTGTATCTGTACCTTATATGTTTCCAAATTTCTTGATCAATCAGCACCAAACTTGACACAGTGATATAGGATGACATGAATATAGCTTTTACAGCAAAAAATGTATGCTTATGAAGATCAAAATATTGAATGATTAACAAAATTCACAGTAAGCTGTAAAAATATTAATACTGTAATTTAAATAACCAATTGAATATCATGGAAAATAAATAATTTATTAAATATATTAAGAACTGTGTTTAACACAACTAGTCCAATTTTCACTATCCCATGCACACATACTCAGTTTAAAGAGTAAAATAGGTAACTTTATGAACTAGGCAAAATATACAAGTGGTAATAAGATCTAATAAATAGATTTTAGAACAATATATATTATAGTATAGCTTTAGCTTTCCTTGTTTGGTGTCACTTTAGTTACAAATCTGTATATTGACTATACACTAATTTTTGTGTTGAGCCTGGCATGTACTATTATTGTTTTCACAGCAGCCACCTTTTCAGATTACCACCATATGCCAAGAGTCAAACTTTACTCATACTAAGGACTGTACTTTTTGACATGTAATATCAGTATAGTAGAAAGGTGGTCTGTAAATGAATAAATCTGATGTTCAAACTGTGATAGAAGAAATCTCATTAAGAGTGAGTTTATGAGCTATGTCTGTGGAATTTTGTAATGTAGAATGTAATGTTAGTATAGTAGAAAGGTGCTCTGTAAATGAATAAATCTGATGTTCAAACTATGACAGAAGAAATCTCATTAAGAGTGAGTTTATGAGCTCTGTCCGTGGAATTTTGTAATGTAGAATGTAATGTTAGTATAGTAGAAAGGTGCTCTGTAAATGAATAAATCTGATGTTCAACCTATGACAGAAGAAATCTCATTAAGAGTGAGTTTATGAGCTCTGTCCGTGGAATTTTGTAATGTAGAATGTAATGTTAGTATAGTAGAAAGGTGGTCTGTAAATGAATAAATCTGATGTTCAAACTATGACAGAAGAAATCTCATTAAGAGTGAGTTTATGAGCTCTGTCCGTGGAATTTTGTAATATAGAACCTATTATATCTAATAAACTGCGAGTAGCATACTTGGTAATGTAGTATAACCTATTTGGAAATGGAAACTTTATAACTTCAAAATAAAAAGTATGTTTTATTATTAATTTTGAACGGCAATAAATAATGATGCTTATTATCTATATCTAGGTAATGTGTTTTGTTTGTAGTGTAACTTTTTTTTTTTTTTTTACCTAGAGTGAGTTAGTGTTCTGTTGAATAAACGTGTTTGGTAATATCAAGAAAAACTTTGAAAATTTGGTAACAAAACTTAAATATATCTACAGGGTGTGACTAGTATATTATATGCTTTGTTAGCCTATCTTATTAAGATTTTTTTTTATGAATGAAAATTCTTATTCAAATAAATTATAAGTCTGCAACTTGTAAGCTGAAGTTACAACACATGTAGCAGAAATTGCTAATATATCAAACAGCAGTTTCTTTTAAGTAAACAAATAGCTTAGATTGAATTATTAAGGGGCTGAAAGGGACTTTCCCTTGCAAATCTAAATGTTAACATGAATGTTAGTTTTTAAAAAGAAAATAACAAAGGTATGAACATATGATTAAGCCTTGTTACGTTTGTAATTATTATTTTTAATTACTCCAAAACAGTTTTCTTAATACAAGCTGCCCAGTGTCTGCTAACAATACGAAGAATTAAATTGGGGCGAAATACTACAAGTTCTTCAAATACCTATAGAATGATAGGTTTCTTTTTTGCGAGTGTAAAACACTTAAATACACCAGTTCAGTTTTCTTAATGGATGACAGTTGGTTTTGATAGTAATAATATAATTAAAAATACACAGACCTAGTGAGTATCTTTATTATAGATTTACCAGTTTTAAAATATGTACTGCTGACTTGAGATGTTTGAATATATCTGAAAGAGGTAGGAATGACCCGTTTTCTCGGTGTTAAGGTTATTACACCCTTATCGCCCGTGTCTGATTGAAAAAATAAGGAAAAGCAATTTTTACTTAGTTCTGAAGAATAAGTTGAGGAAGAACATTTATTACAGTAGTTTTTTATCAAGCATGTCACAGTTAATATTAAAATTTAATTATATTGTTACAAAAATACTGTAAATAGAATGAATAACACTACCAGTATAATAGTTTCATAAGCAAAAAAACAATAGATTATCAGTTTGGAAGGAGTGCTGGCGCCATTAAGTTAACAAATTTCAGATGGTATACTGAATTTACTTTGCTCCATTCTTCATTAAGAACTTCTAATCAGGGCATACTTCTATCTGATTTTTTAAAATTAACCTCATGAAATGACTAAACAATACAAGTCATACATCATCTGTGAAACATAATTAAAGTAAGTAAAGAAATTAATCCACATTTTCTATTTTCTGCTTAGAACACCGTTACATAGAGCTATTTTTAAATTCAACCCCTGAACCAATGGGAGGTGGTCCTGGTGGCTTTGGCAACAGTGTTATGGGTGGCATGGGAGGTGGTGGAGGAGGTCAAGGTTTTGGTGGTGGTATGGGTAATCAGATGGGCTATGGAGGATTTGGAGGGTCTAGTCCTGGAGGAAGGTATGGAAGTAAAGGTGGATTTGGCGGAGGTATGGGTAGTCAGATGAGCTCAGGTGGCGGTGGCATGGGAAGGTTTGGAGGTAAGAATTTTCTATCAAGTTCAGAAGAATAAAAGAGCAGTTACATGATATGTTTTTTATCTTTATGAAAAAATATGAACAATGGTAACTTCCTTCTTTTTAAGTCTGTAGTAACAGATATTATTCTTAATATTATATGAAACAATTATATAAAAGAATGCTTGAAAACATATATAATCAGTTGGTTGTACACAGTGTTATGTGTATTAGTTTAGATCTTAATTTTTTCAGTCCTTCAGCCTTTATATTAAAGTAGTGAAAAAAGCATAAAATACTTTGATCATTTCTAACTTTTTTTTTCATAGGTGGTGGCATGGGAGGAGGAATGGAAAGTATGATTGGTGGAAGTAACTACACTGCTTTTTAACATCAGGATTTTCATTTTATTGTGTTATCGTTTTTTTTTGTCTTATGGTGTATTCAGAATGTGTTTGAACATCTGACATTTTTCAGTAATAATCTTTGCATACTTTTTCACACGTTTATATGATCTACCAACAAGCTTCAGTTTGAGCTGAAAACAATTAAGTCATTGATAACCTGTTGTGCATGTCATTTCATTTTTGTGAGTATAAGTAAAGCTAGTTTTTCCTTCATCAATGTATAAATGATTAAAAATGCAAAAAATGTATGTTAGTTTCTTTAAAAAATACATAAACAGGTATTGCATTTTGTATTGAGTCAGCCTTGCATTTTTGGAGTTAGTTGTTGAGTATGTGTTGAATCTCGCAAAGTACCAAGCTTTGGATTATCAGAGAACACTTAAGTGAGTAGAAATAAAAATGTAATATTGCAGTTAAAAGTTTAACTTTAACTGCTTTAGACAGTTAAAAAAACAAGTGATGTTTTTCTAAAAAAAAATTATTTTCCAGTGATACAGTAAATCATTTCATGAATAAATCACAAGCTTAATAAAAAAAATAATTAAAGTTTAACGACTAAGCGCTTAGTAGTGGATTTTAAGTTTTTGATGGCCAATTTAATAAACTAGTCATTTTAGAAAATTATTCTGAATTCTTAGACTTCTTGTATTACAGATAAAGATGTTTCACTTAAAAAAACTATATATATAAAATTTTTGTTAGTACTGTATGTTAGCTTTCACACAAAATACTTAATTACCTAAAATATATTTGACTTGCATACCCTTTTTTTAGGTATTATAACCAAATCCCCAAATTAAAACGTGTGTAATATCTACATAGGTAACACCATGTGATATCAATATTATCCTTGTATTATTTTAGCTGGTGGGGTATACTTGTAAGAAGAAAGGACAAAAGTTCACATTAATGAAAATATATGTAGACTTCTATTTCAAAATGATAAAGTCTATACAATACCAACTATATAAAAAAAAATATATAATTATGGACATCATGTTATTTCACTTTGAGTTAATGAACTAAATTAGACATCATTATCCAATTTGTGAATGTACATTTGATGGGTTTTCCTTTCAGTTTTAAACACTTCTATTAGGAGAAAACCCGTTTGCAGGACTAATCAAGTTGTATTCCACTTGAGTCTAACATAGAAACATGCATATATTATTGAAAATTAAAAAAAATAATAATTTTTTTTTTTAGGGAATAAGAGTTTAGGAAATCCATAAGCAAAATTATACAAGAAAACAGACTTTAGTTTAAAAACTGATGTAAAGTGCAACAGATGGTTTAAGTTGTGAATTAGTACTCAGTATTTTATTGTAATGGTTAGTAGCCCACGTGTTCTTCTAAGTAATTATTAATTAGTCACTTTTGTTGTTTGTCCAATATACTGGAGTTCATTGCATATTGGAGAATCAAAAAGACTTAACAAAAGTTAGAACTGAAGAATACAGTAGACATACAAGTCTTTGCATACCAATCTATCTGTAATAAAACAGAATAATATGAAAGTAATGGGACATAAAACACACACGAGAAAAAGAAAGATAAAAGAAGCCTAATACCTCATGATGTCATGAGTCGGGCGTGGCCTAATGGTTAGGGTCTATCACTTCAAAATTAAATGTGGTTAGCGCAGATGGGCCTTGTGTAGCTTTGAGTGAACGGCCGACACAAACATAGGTGGGTATACAAGGATAACCTTGAATGACAAAATGGCTGTTGGTATATTATTTTTAGGGGATAATGTTCTGTGCCTTGTTTGTTACTCGATGTGACTTCTATATGTCTATCATTTATGTTTTCATAATTATTTCCGTTATAATATGCATATTTTAATTAGAATATCGCCCACTATAACATAAAGCTATAATTAAAATGTATATTTCATATAAAAAATGACTATTAGGTGAAATTTTAAATTTAAATGAATAGACTGATATGATAGTACTTACTAATGGCGGGCGCTAATTGGACTTTCAGTAGAATTCTGGATCAACGAGCTGGCGAGTGGTGTTCTAATCCGTGCGATACCACAAAATATCTTTGTTTTCTCCACCTTCCATTTTAAGCTGTGAATGCGTTATAAAAGTAACAGTAAATCATTTAGCGTGAATGGTAAAGTGATACTGACTGTCTGGTTAGTAGTTCAGAATTAGGGAAGTTCGCAAGTAGCCTTTGTAGTTTTGCCATAAATACACTAGTAACGATCTCCCTAGAACTAACGAGATTTTGGGGTCCTCTCGTGTTACAGATAACATTCTTTTCGACATCCAATCAGCCATGAATGAGAACGAGTCTTACAATTACCAATTCTCATAAAGCGTTTGTTATTGTCATTATTAAGTTTATAGTAGAATATTGTATAAATTCATAAATACTTCAAGTTTCATGTTTTAATAAAATTTTTTTCTTAATTTAGGACTATTAGCCCATGTAATGAAAATCACTTAGAAACAACAAAAAATAATCCAGAACTGTAAAAACAGTGTTGCATTGACGAAGCCGTTCAACTAGTGGTTAGTTTGCTTGGTCTGTGAATCTGACGGTTAAAAGTAATAAAAACGAACATATGTTGAAGTGTTGTACAGTAAATAAGCTTTATAGAGATAGGGCACAGCCTTAAAAAAACAGGTGTATTTTTTAGGGCTGTGTCCCGTTTTTAATAAAGCCTATTTATTGTGCAACAATTCAGCGTTATATGTTCGCTTTTCATATTTTACCTATGCACGAGGGTTCATGGTTCGTGGCCTTTACAAAAAAAAAGAAAGCGCTACGCACTTTGGGGTCATGGATTCGCTATAAGAATACGATCAAGTCTTAACTATTCGGTAAGTTAAGAGTTGGCAGTGGGTGGGATTGACTAGATATCGTCCCTCTCTCTAGTCTATTATTTCAAAGTTATGGATGGCTATTCGTAGATATTTTTGTGTAGCTGTGTAAAAATGTCTAAACAAACCATTCAATGTGGTTTATTTATTTATGATCACGCTATTAAGGTTATCTGCCGCCATCACTAATTTTGAACTGATGACTAAAGGGAAGGCAATCGGTCACCACCGACCAATCATTTGCTACTGTTTATCAACGAATAGCGAAATTAATCGTTTCATTATACGCCCCCATGACTGAAAGGGCAAATGTTTTTGGCATCAGGTTTCGATCCCGCAACCCTCAGATTGCGAGTCTAGTGCACAAACACTAGACCATGCATTCAATACGAACTATTTGCACAAGCCAATCACATTTTTAAGATTTATGCAAAACAGAAAAAATTTACTCGGAAGAAATAGTTTTAGCTTGATCTTGTTGCTTTTTATTTGCATTGAATTTAATATAGGAATTTTACAAAAGTATAAGTAATACAACTGATTAGAATATTAGATTTTTACCCACTAGTAACTAAATGTAATGTAGATTGCCAAGTTTTATATAATGTTAGATTAGAAGAAAATAAAATTCGCTGATACCTAAATTTTGACAGATAGTTTTAACTAACCTTTAAATGTTAAAATATCGATGCTTTAAATGATATTCTACGATATTAAAAAGAAAGTTGGAATGTTAACGTTTGTATTTTTTATTCGTGTTGAAATTAGTAGATACATTATCGCTTTCATTTTATAAAACAAAACAAATCCAGACAGTTCATTATTTAACAATTAGATTACAAAAGGAATTTGATCTTTCGAGATTACACGATTTCTTATGTTGAAATAAGTGATTTTCTACTATTATTTAAAAAGGTTTTCGTTTCGTCATATTAAAATGACGTAAGAGAAGTATAGTGAAGCTACATATGTGATTGAAAAATACTCGTTTTTTTATTGTATTCGCACCGTACTTGATAAATCTTCAAAAAAAAATTACTGTTTTAATTAATAAATTTTCATTTGCAGTTTTGGTTTAGACTATCAAGAAATATTTGTGTTATTTCGTATATGTCATTAATAATACAGTTTTGGCATTTTTTGTTTAAAAACAGTTATGTTTTTGTTGTTTTTAAATCTAAAATCACAGAATTTCAAAGCAATTTAGAGATTCCTCTGTTTAGTGATACTGAAAAGACTTGGAGCAGCATTCATCTCTGGTGTTATTCATAAGGCCACTCTCGCTGAGTCAACCTGAAAGAAATGGCAATGAATGAGTGCACAATTAAAACATTAGCATTTTTAAAGTTCAGGAAAAAATTGCCACCTAACAACTCTGTTCTCTGACTCAATATACGCTAAACTCATAAATACTATTAATACGTTTTGACTAATGGCTAAAACATAGTTAAATATTTGTTAGAGCTTTCAGTAATTATAACAGTAGCCACAACAATAAATGTTTACAATAACATTGTATCTAGTGAATTAATTTGTGTGACTAATTAGTTCAATTGCAAGACAATAAAAAATGAAAAAAATAGAGCAAGACTAGGAAAGTAAAATCATAAATAATATTCAACGTTAAACTGGTACACAA